TGATCACCACATGGCAACCCAACCCCTAATCTACCGTTTATTATTGATATGAATTATTCACAATAATATAAACACAATCTCTATGACAACATTTCATTTCAATATTTAAGGTCTAGAATACAGACTCTAATATGAGGTAAAGGTCTGCAATTATACCACACATTAATCACAATTAAGTTCTGATTGATTCTCATATATCACATAACATACCGTAGAATAGCTTTAAACCCAGAATTTACTAAATATTGTTTTAAGGTTTTTATAAAAATAATAAATACAAATTTTTAACAATTATAAATAAATTATTTATAATTGATTCCATTAATTTTATCAATTTTATTTTTAACTATTAAAATTAAATTGAAATTAATTTGAATAAATTGAGTGCAAGAAATGTATGAATAAATTGAACTTCATATATGAGAAGTGTTTTATATAGGGTTTTAAGTGTCTTATATTTAATGGACTGAAGAAAACAATTGTTTGTCGATTAGAGAGACAAATGATGCAAAACTATGATAATTGCGGACACGAAATATAAGTCATCCCCTTTTGGCACTTCGTTAATGTCCGCCAAAAATGATTGTATATTTTAGGCAAACGAACAGATAATGTGCTGTTTTCACGAAAATTAGATCAAATAAATGTACTTTTTATGCGAGAAATATGTGTTTTAATAGAAATGGATAGACATTTGGTGTCTAATGAATGCAACCAAACATAACTGCAGAGCAGGTGTGATGTGAGCGCCTATACTATACACGATGTATGACAGACCGGACGGACTGACTGGTCGTATGCCGTATGACTCTCTTATTGACAATTGTATGTCTGTTAATAACTTCTATCAATTCAACCCAAACCTTATCTTCAAATATCAATATAATTAATCAAATTGTATTGAGTTCTAAGCTGACCATGATCATTTAACGCATCACAGCTTACCCTCCAATGTATAGACAACATGCACTGTAAGAAATGAAAATATAGGAAATATTTACAAACAAATATGCTATGCGTCCACACTATGGCTAAAAATACAATGTATAAACAAGGCTCACACGCAATGCTATGCGTTAATCACAATTCCGGAAATGTATAAAAAGATTTTAATTTTTTAAATACTTTTGTTAGAATACTTTCACTATATTGTGATTTTGACAATTTTAAATGTTTTTGACAACAATTAGTTTAATTTATTATGTCACATTCGTTTAATATATCTCAATAGAAAAAGCATTATCCCATAGACTTACATTACTCCCATATAAACTCTCATAGTTTTGCCGTTACTTAACATTACCTATATGATTACCATTGCCAAAGACTTAACACTACTCGTAGAGTTAACATTGTCCACAGACTTAGCGTTACCCATGTTAAACCTATGTCATAGACTTAAGCTGTAGAAAACGCATTTTCCAATAGAAAAAGTGTTCCTCATGTTATCCTATGAGAATCTCACCATATGAAAGTATAGCCATAGGATTATCATGAAATCCCATGTTAAATCCAATAGAGTGGGGGAAGGGTAGTCTCATCATACTATAGACCACATTCTTCATTTATGAATTGTGGCCACAAATTCATGGCACAGAAGGGAAAAAAAGAAATTTCACTAAAAATTGTCACATAATTGTTATTTTAGTTTTTTATATGCTATGCATTGAGAGTGCATTTCAAGCAATTTGATATAATTAGAGCATTAATGATAAATGTATGAAATTCTTGTGATTGTTTGACTTTTAGGATCGAGTGATGGCTATTAAAAACTGTTGAACGACAGCCGAAAATAGCAAAAACTGATTAATAATTGACTGATAAGTTATATACAGTATAATATATACGTATATTCGGATGGATTTAAATGTCAGACAAACATAAATAGATACCAATTAATTAAGATACGGATCGAAACACAAGTCTGAGTCAAATGGTGTTTAATCATTGACTTATTGATTATTTACATAAATAGTTAACATAATAGTGAGTATTTAGATTAAGCCGACAGTAAAATGAATATTAATATTAACATAACATTAATAGCATATAAAATAATGCGAGACTAGGATTACATAAAATTTCTAAACAAATAGCAAATAAATATATTTATAAATTAAATACGAATTTTTATATTTATATTATATAAGAAGTAGAAAATAAAAATATAATTGATTGGCAATCGATACTAAAATTTTTTTGTTTGATTGTTTAAGTAATAAAAAAAATTGTGCTATAATTACGAACAAATATTCAATTGATTGATTGTACTATTATTTTCATTTCAAAAAATCATATGTAAAGCACTGATTAGAAAAACAAATATTTTTCATACAATATATGTAAATATATTTCCCTAAAATTTGTTGGTAAGGAATATATACCACAAGTTTTATCGCATGTAAATGTTGTTGATTTTTGGCACAAATTATAAAATATTAAAACTAAACATAAATAAAAATTAATTACAGAATCATTTATAATAATAATTATAAGTAAAAGAGTAAATATCTGTAAAATAATCGTAAAATAGTAACTGAAAGAGTAAATTGATGGCAATCGCAGAGTATAAGGGATGAGATCGCAAGCAATATCACAGAGTATTGCCGGAGAATCGGGTGATTGATATTCACGCAAATAAAAGTAAGAGAGAAGTTTCAAATGTTATATGTCTTAAATACAATGCTTTAAAATATGGCACTAATTTTGTTTTGTGGGTAAAAACGGGTCATTAAAAACAATGTCCCATAAAAATGTCCATTAATTGGTTTTGTGTGTTTCAGTTGTGCCGACGTATATGTCTGTGTCGGTGACGATAGACGGGAAGTGCTGTTCGATGTTTCTGAGGCTTTTCAACATTGATTATCTGCTCGTCTTCGTTGGCATCCAATGCTGAATAGGAAACCGCGAAACCCTTGTTGTGAATCGTGTCGTCCGAACGGAACCGAAGCAACAGCGCTTCGCTCGTCGACAAGAAATCCGGAGGTATCTGTCATCACAATCAAAAACAATAATCAATCAACGAGTTTATAATTAGCAAAAATAAATTGAATTCTACTTTGTTTCCACAATAACGGCCCAAATTGTGTGCGGAGTCGTCGTAACCGTCGTAAACCTCGACGTAATCATAGGAACAGTCGGCCTCGTGTTCCACTTCAAAGGTCACAAACCGAAGTCTAACGCGTTTGCCTTCCGGCGCTTCAATAACCCAATCGCAGTCTTCCTTCTTATCGTAATTAAAGTCCCCGAACTTCGAGTGCGAGTATATGTGCTCTAAACCCATGTTAGCCATCAGTCGTCCGCCACATACTAATTATGGGCAAAAATATATTCATTTTAATTATTGAATGATACAAAACATAACCCCAACAAAAAAGCCACAGACCTGTGGAATGACTGCCTTTGAAACCCTTGCGTTGGACGGAAGCGTCTGATTTGAAAATCATAAACATTTTGTTGAGCGCCGACAGCAAAGTGTGCGGTGTTTTACTGCCGCAGAAGCGGCCCAAAGTGGACGCTTCGGTAGAGTCGCCGTCGTATACAATGATGTGATCGTAAGCGCACTCCTGATGGGGCTCGAGCTCGAACTCCGTGAACAACAGTTTGATCCGATGGCCGGGCGTTGTGGTCAAGAGCCACGTGCAGTCTTTACGGCTGGGATAGGGGTCGGGATAGTTGGGAGAGTGGAGTTCGCCGTTGGGTGCGGTTATGTGATGAGTACACGAGCCTTCTTTGCAGTCGTGTTTGTTCTCATGCAATACGAATCCGTTGTGACAAATGCACGAATACGAGCCGATCGTGTTCTTGCAGATGTGTTGACAGCCGCCGTTGTTCACCGCACACTCGTCTTTGTCTATTCGTACAGCAATTATACATAACATTCATGTATTATTCGCTTCAATATTATTAGTAAAAGCGTTTCAAAATACCAGTGAAGAAGTTAGCGCTAAATCCACTTTTTTGGACCGAATTGTCTGAATTGAATTCTATGCGAAGACTGTGTCCGACAGACGTAATCATCGGCGGTATGCGAGAGCTGCAGAAAGCGCCGTGTTTTCTGAAATCATTGTCTCCTAATTTGCTTTTGATGTCTACGCTGTCGTATTCGCAATCTTGCTATCAGTTTTGACGACAAAAATACAGATAACATATTATAATTAAAACATTATTCAAAATATATAACTACTGTATAATTCATACATTATTTCCTTCTAAATCAAAATGAGTGAAATTAAGTGTAATCCGGAAGCTTTGCGGCGCTATTATCTCCCAAATGCAGTTCTTGTTGGGCGGGTACAGGTCTGGGAACGACGGGCTAACAATCGTGCCATTCGTGGTATCAATGAGTCCTCCGCAGGCGTCCTCACACTTCTTGCCGTCCGAATGCAATTCAAAGCCTATCCGACACTCGCATCGATAGCCGCCTAACGTATTGACGCATTCGTGTTCACAGCCGTGGTCTGAATCGGAGCACTCGTCAAACTCTTTGATAAAATTGGCCGAAAAGCCTGCCTTTTGGACGGAGTTGTCGGACATAAACTTAACGAGCAGTTTGTTAGAGTTGGAGCGAACGGCTTCCGGCATTTTATAGCCACAGAATTTGCCCAAAAGGGGACTATTCATGTGGTGGCCGTCGCGCACCTCCAAGTAATCGTATACACAGTTGTCGTGGTTCTCGATCTCAAACGACTGAAACTTGAGCGCCACCTGAAAGTTCTCGGGAACCGTTATCTTCCAAATGCACTCTTTGTTCGGCCGATAGTCTTCCGGATAGTTTGGACTCTGAAGAGTGCCCTCTTCTGCGTTGATGTCACCGCCGCAGAGAGCTATGAGGTTAGGGAAGGAAAGGGTGCAAAGGGTCGGGCGATAAACAAAAAGACATTAAAAACGAGCCGAAAATAGACGCACAAAGAGAGGGAAGAGTTTATATATCCGATGATTTCCATACCTTCATAGTTGGCTTTAAAGCCTCGATGGCTGTGTTGATTGGGTGAAGACTTATAAATAACAAGCATTCTGTAACCCGTAGTCATTAAAGTAGTGGGCGCTTTGCCAGACCCGCAAAATCTTCCTGAAAATCGATACATTTTTGCACATAAATTAACATTTAATGAACAAAATAGAAAACAACGATTAATATGCAATAATTGCCGTCGACTGCACTGTATAATGGGTTTTAAGGCTAAATCATTTCCAGTCCTCTCCGGTATTTTTAACATTGAACTCAGCGGCTAATCAAACAGACTTATAGCGTATACTGTAATCTATTATACAGAGTATACTGTAGTCCTTATGGTTTGATATCAATATTAAAGACATAATTTTAAGAACAATTTGTTGTAAAAATAAACTCATAAATCCTTTTGTGTCACAACTCTTTAGCAATAGTTAAACATTAAAAGCATTCAAAAACATTCAAAATTTATAAAACGCTATATAAAAGCAAAAGTCTGTCTAATATAATGAGCAAAAATAAAAGCTATAAATACGATATACGGGAAACGAAGCGAATAAGCAAAACAAGACAAACCTAAAAGTGGAGACTTAGGCCAATAGCCGTCTCTGATCTCCAAGAAGTCGGTCTCACAATTGTCCGACTCATAGACATCGAGATCGGTTACGTTGAGTACAATCTTCTCCCCGTGTGTGGCAGTGATTCTCCACTCGCAGTGCTCTCCTTCGGGCGGCGGCGAAGACTTGGGATAATCGGGTGACTCGAGAGCGCCGTTCGGCTCCTGCATTGTTCGACCGCATTCTGGGTTCAAATGCATACAATTATAGCACAAAAACTCACTAAATATATATTTAATTCACAATTCCGTGCATTCAAAATGTGAATTAAGCGTAAAAATAAAAAATTCTTGAAAATTTAGTGCAAAACAGTTGACAATTAAATAGCACTTAATGTGCAAATATTCGCATAAAATAAAACATTTTATAATTATTTTTACTTTTAAGCCTCGCTTAGACAACGTGTATATAATTACAGACTCTATAATACTATTTTTGCAATGAATTTCTATTCCTATAACACATCACAACTTATAAAAGTTAACAAATGATAGCATTTTTAAATTAAAGCATTAATTGTTTGACTAAAAAATGTAAAAGTTATAAATTCAAGCAAAATTAATCTTATTCCTTTATTTGTGGATTATTTAAACAGTAATTTCTCATAATTAAAACCAAGAATAAATATAGTCTTCGCTTTCATTTGAATTATATTAATAAATAGCATTCAATTACGAGGAAATGTTTTCATTAATTTTATTTAGAAATATATACACAATAATGAAGACATTCAGTGAATTATTTATCGCAAGGGATTAGCAAGAAATGAGAAAAACAAATGCATAATAAATCTCATGAATACAAACATTTAATATAATCCAAACTAAATACTAATTTCACGCACTTTTGGTTTTTTGTACAAAAGATTTTTTCATTTAAGGATTTCATTTTATAAAATGACTAAATTTAACTGATTTAGTGGTTTGATTAAAACTGTTTATATTTTTGTGAAGACCATAACAATTATATTTAAAAGATTTATTTAAAAAGTGATCGAAATAATGGCAGAAAACATTTAAAATTTTCACATAACATCCTTTTTCCAGGATTGATAAGAATGGGGTAAATTTCAGTTCTAGAATTAGGGTTAATTTTATTATTATGAACATGGTTACAATATAGAAAAGATTGATTGCAACTTGTTTTAAAAATCTCCATTGCATTCTATTTACTTTGCAATTAAATAAACAGATAAATTATAAATCTGATTAAATTAAACTTAAACCAATTGTATGGCACGTAAGCCAATCGAAGAATGTTTTAACTTAAATCTTAATTACATAAAAATATAGACATTTTAAAATTAAACCTCTTTTCCAGTCACTATAATAGAGATTAAATTTAGATTCAATAAACAAAACCAAATCCATTATCGGTTACTTCAACTCAATTTATCTCAAACACCAATTCATTGGACTAGAAATTAAGATAATCGATGATAATTGAAGGATAAACTGTATACTCTGTAATCTAAAATAACTTTAGTTATATTTAATTACATAAATAATCTAATATTTGATAAATTTAACACTTTTTAAACCACTTTTTAAATAAACAGAATCTATTCATTACGCAAAAGACAATCAATTCATTTAATCTCTACTCAAATAATATTATATCACTTCAAATGAAGTCAAATAAAAGTGAAAACAAACTTTCCATTGAAAATAATATAACTTTTTAAAAACAAGAATTTGCTAAATAATGAACTTTTTATACACAATTACAGTCATATTACTATCATTAAAAAGCACTATTTCTAACATATAATTCATTTTAAAATTAAGATTATATTCTGTAGATAAGGGCATCAATTGTGATGTCAATGCAATATTTTTGGCTTAAAATTATATATAAAACAAATTATAATGAGATTATGAGACGTGATGTCG